CCATAATATTAGAGGAAACACATTGCTTGAAAAATTGCCCTGAACTTTGTTTCTACAAGTCATTAGTATTCATTTTTATATCTCATTTCCTCTTGCACATTACCTTCTAGAATAGTATTTTCTCGTAATGGTTATTGTATAGGAACACCCCAGGTATTGGCTTGCAAATATTCTACAGACTCAAATAGAAGCCTGCTCATTGTTTCTGAAGCTCACATTCCTGAATCATCATTATATGTATATGCAAAAGTATCAAATATTCTTTTGCATTTTGGGGCAATTATTAAGTTTTCCAATTAACTGTGTTGTTCTGCCAATGTGACAGAGCATTCAGAGTATTGTGGAGTACTGCACCATGACAGGATATCTGTGTACACATGTTGTACTCGTTAGGGAAGTCAATCTAAGCATAGGTTTTCTTTTCATAACAGATAAATGTACCACCTTCAATATCTAAAGACAAGTCAAGATTCCACATAATAGCAGTTTCTAACTTGTATCCTACATTTTTCTCAAATTAAGCCAGAAAGTTATTGCCTGTGAGTTATTCATAAATCTACTGCAGGTTTGGTTTTGGTTTTTTTTTTTTTTTTAAACTCTCAAACTATAGAGCACCCTCTATATTCACTATACACAGTAAGAAGTTAAAGCGATCGACATCTTTCAGGTTTATCTTCTTGGACAAAGAAAGTGCACTAGTCCTTGGGAGTTCAAACTTTTCAGATGTTTCCCCTTACTTTTCAATTAATATGGTACAAAGAGGAATAGAAGAAGAGACTAGTAAGAGAAATTATTTCACAAAGGACAGGTTTCACCCTCTCTGAATGAGATTAAATTGCAAAGGTACAATCTCAAAAAGTTGTAATTTTAACTCTTCTCCATACACTAGAATTTCTAACAGGAGCTGTTACTGTGAAAGAAGAAAAGTAACCACATTCAGGAATATTGTGACATGCAGTACTATGGGTCTTTCCTGCATTTTAAACCATTTTCCCAAATCAACTGCAGCATTTCACCTAAATGGTAACAATAGTGGTAAATGAGCTGTGCCATGTTGCTAAACATCAGCTGGTTAATATTGCACACTGCACAGACAGAGAAAGGCCAGGGTATTTAAACTCTATTCTTTGCTAGGCAAGCAAACCATCTAAAGTCCAAGTGCTTTTCATAGAACAGTGTAAAAGCTGCTATTAAAGATCTGCTTTCTACCAGTTCCTTGCAACTCCACTTTATTTCTCTTGGTACACTGGTACTTGTATTTTTCCCTCTCAGTTGCTGTTCATGCAGTGAGGAACTTCAATGTTTCTCTGAAACAAAATGTAGGACTTTATTAGCTGCCACTACACATCTGCAGCAGTTTATTCAACCGATTGCATCATCATCCAGTACAACAGCGCACTTGTTCTCTACACAACACTGAGCCCCTCTCCAAATCAGAGCCTGACTCTGCCATCTATTCTATCAGTTCTCTTGGAAAGACCTTCCTAATATCATTAATGCTTTGTAACAGATATAAAGGAAGTAAGAACTACACACTTCCTTCTTTAGTAAAGAAATCATTTGGGCATTATTTGTGCATACCTGAGCTAAGAAGCACCCTTGATTAGTGGTCACCTCTCGGAGCCACTTACAACCACTCCACACAGCAAGAGAATCCACAGGATGGAGGAAAGAAGCTTTGATGTGACATACACATAGGCAAAGCAGTTGCCAGAATGTCCTTGAACATATAGTGAGGCTCCTTCTGCTAGGGTTGGACATACTGGTTAAGAATAATCTTGATCAGAAGAGAGCTATGGAGCTGAGGTCCTCCCGCAAAATACCTGAGCTACAGGTGGCTATGGACTTAGTGTCTTCCCCCAGTTCTTCGGATCTTTTCCCAGCTCCATGCAGGAAGAGAGGGGACTGTTACTTCCCCTTGAACTTCACATACTTTATGAACACGTGTCTCCCATTGATATTTCCTTCTTTTCCTTCCTTTCTCTCAAGAAAAGGGACAAAATGGGTCAATTAAAACTCATTTTCACTTTGAACCAAAATTTCTAGAGTGAATGATGAGTGCATAACCATAAATCCCAGCAACAGTTAATAAAAATGTATATTAGAGTAGAATCTTGCAGCTAATACCTTAACAGCCACACCTGTGTAGTAAGATCAAATCAGGTCTTTAAAAAGATGCAGACATTTGGAAGAAGGTCAAGTTACATATGTTAGAGCGCTATCCAGGCAAAAGAGGAAGGGGTCTGCTGTTTAATTCACCTTATCAAGTGCTTGAAGGTACAGCTATCTACTTTATTGTTCTTTTAAGTTTTCTTGATGCATTTGCTTTTTGGTAATCAATGTCACCAGCATAGGAAGCAAAAAGCTCTCGTTTATAAATATTAGAAAGAATACAGATTCTGCTCCCTTAAGTCTTTCAACTGCACTTATCTCCTCAAGTTTCAAAAAGCAGAGATATAGCCACATTTTAGGTCAGTGTGTTAAACTGCTTGTTATACAAGTGAAGTCACTGCATTAAAAAGTCATGAGAGGTTGAGGAGTGGGGGAAGAGTACATGCATCCAATATCTACAATTCATACTGCAAACCAAAATAGCCTATTACTATTGAGAACTTTTCCATCTAATAATCAGAGGGGGGGGGGAAATCCCTCTGCTGAGGCCAGTAAAACGTCAGCTTCTCAAAGAAAGTCTTCATGTACTACATAAAAAGGTTTGCAGCATAGTGAGCAGGAACTAGTACCTGCACACAAGAGTATCAAGAAGTCAGGCTTACTTGAGCACACGGTAAAGTTCACAGTAGTAAGGATGTGGTTTTTGCAACAAAACCAGGTATATTGTGTTCTGCTATATTTATTCTCATGCATATACTCCAATGGTCAAAAGTCCATCAATAATCACAGAATCATAGAATCATTTAGGTTGGAAAAGAACTTTAAGATCAAGTCCAACCATTAACCTAGCACTGTCAAGTCCACCACTACACCAGGTCCCTAAGCATCACATCTACATGTCTTTCAAATACCTCCAGGGATGGTGACTCAACCACTTCCCTGGGCAGCCTGTTCCAATGCTTGACAATCCTTTTGGTGAAGAAATTTTTCCTAATACCCAAACCTCCCCTGGCACAACTTGAGGCCATTTCCTCTTGTCCTATTGTTTGTTACTTGGGACAAGAGACCAATACCCACCTTGACACAACCTCCTTTCATGTAGTTGTAGAGAGCAGTAAGGTCTCCCCCTCAGCCTCCTCTTCTTCAGGCTAAACAACCCCAGTTCCCTCAGCCGCTCCTCACAAGACTTGTGCTCTAGACCCTCCACCAACTTCATTGCTCTTCTTTGGTCACACTCCAGCACTTCAATGTCTTTCTTGTAGTGAGGGGCCCAAAACTGAACACAGTTTTCAAGGTGCGGCCTCACTGGTGCAGAGTGCAGGGGGACAATCACTTCCCTAGTCCTGCTGGCCACACTATTGCTGACACACTAGGATGCTGTTGGGCTTCTTGGTCACCTGGGCACGTTGCTGGCTCACATTCAGCCATCTTCTGACCTACACCCCCAGGCCCTTTTCCACCAGGCAGCTTTCCAGCCACTCTTCCCCAAGCCTGTAGCATTGCATGGGATTGTTGTGACCCAAGTGCAGGACCCGGCACTTTGCCTTATTGATTCTCATACAATTGGCTTTGGCTCATTGATCCAGCCTGTCCAGATCCCTCTGTAGAGCCTTCCTACCCTCAAGCAGAACAACTCCCATCCAAATTGGTGTCATCTGCAAATGATGAATAAAGCTTAAGAGGGGCAAAAAACCCCCAGTGTTATTTGCCTTTTTGATTGAGAAATCATGCATGAATGTTTTCAATGATCTTGGCTAATTTACAGTGCAAACTCAGCTGCATTATACAAAGTATTATACCAGTAGGTTGAGAGAGGTGATCCTTTTCCTCTACTCAGCACTCATGGGGACACACCTGGGGTACTGTGTCCAGTTCTGGGCTCCCCAGTACAAGAGAGACATGGACATACTGGAGAGAGTTCAACAAAGGGACACCATGATGAGGAATGGGCTGGAGTGCCTCTTCTAGTGAGGAAAGACTGGGAGACCGGAAACTGTTGAGGCTGGAGAAGAGAAGGCTCACCAGAGTCTTATCAGTGTGTATAAATACCTGAAGGGAGGGTGCAAAGATGACAGAGCCAGGCTTATCTCAGTGACATCCAGTGACAGGACCAGAGGCAGTGGGCACAAACTGAAACACAGGAGGTTCCCTCCGACCATTAGGAAACACTTTCTTACTGTAAGTGTGACTGAGCACTGGCACAGGTTGCCCAGGGAGGTTGTGCAGTTTCCATCCTTGAAGATACTAATAAACTGTCTAGACATGGTCCTGGGCAACTGGCCATGCCCTGAGCAGCTGGGTTGGACCAGATGACCTCCAGAAGTCCCTTCCAAGCTCACCTGTTCTGTGATTCTGAGAAACTGCAGTTACCACTCCTGGTAATTTCCAGAAAAGTACCTCTGTTTCTCCTGTTCATAAGAGCCAATCAAGTCTTTCTCTGGACAATCAGCTACTGGATATCCTTATGACTGACTGACAAATGGTGAAATTCAGAACCTTAAATCAGCATGGTTAGGACGTTGGAGTATGGAGAGGATGAACACGGAGAGGACATTGCTTGGTTTCATTCTGCCTAAATGCTTATAAATTCCTCTTTCCTCAAAGCTGCAGTGATTTAACGCTACTGTTAAATTAGGGTAAGCTTACTTCACTACTCTTAGATCAAACTTCAAGAGAACCTTAGCAAACAAAAGAAGCAAACTTTTCAGTGTCTTCAAAGTGTGCACAGGTGCAACCCTAGGAAATCAAATATATCCAGAGTTTTTTCCTCCATCAATATGCACGATGCTTCCCCATTCATTTTTAAACCACGGAAGGCAGGACATTAAAGATGAGCAAAAGTTCCATTTTGAAGTCTTGTTTAGACAACATCTCTGACTTCAATCTAGTTCAGTAACTGTGATTTAATTTAAAACAGTTCAGTCAAATTGGGGATGGACTGTATTATACCACAGTACCTACAACCTGGCAGCTTAAGCCCTCTTCTCAAAGGCATGACCAAACTGGTCTAGGGTTCAACTGCACCGCAGCTGTATTTGTCCACGTCTCTGTTACAGACTGCTGTCAGGGAATGGAGAAGAGTGGCACAAGACAGACATATTATAATCTGCTTTGATCAGAAAATTCCAAACCAGGCCCCACCTAGATCACCAGTGAGTCACAATCAGGCATAATTAATTGAGAACTGAATTAACACAGTCTCTGATGGGCTGTAGCACAGCTTCATAAGCTTGTTTCAACAGAATCATTGGCCAGAATTACGGCGTTTTTAACACACGTTATCACATACAATTCCTGCCCCAGTCCAAAGTGCAAGCTAGCATTTAACCTCCCTTTTCCTTCACCATTTATTAAATATAAATTGTTCTTGTCAGCAAGACCAAAGGAGTAAAGGCTGTTGGCATCATATCATCTATGAAAATAGTTAGTCTTATAATTAGCAGGGAATACAAAAGACTTTCTTTTTCTTTTCAGTTGACTAATCTGTGCCAAGGTACCAGAGAGGAAGGTACAAATTCTATCTGTTTAAATGTAAAAAATATATACAACTATATTCAATATTTAAATTACTTTGAACACAACTTTTGTATACTAACAATCTTACATACATTTTTTTTTAAACAATACCTCTTTAATATCCTCTTCTTTTGTTAAACAAGTTTTATTTTCCTCCCAAAATACCCAATGCTACTTTAAAATTCTGAAGGGGGAAAAATTTGCGCTATATAGAAAATAGCAAGGTGTCTTACAATTGTAATGTATCATAGCATGTATTTTTCATAAAAACAACACATCATTCAAAAACTGAACCACTGTAAAAGTTCTTGTAAGTCCAACAGGACTGTCTTTAAAAGCTTACTTTGGTTAACAGCAAATCATTCTTAAACAATTAAGGAAAAAATATATATTCTTTTACCACCTCTACAGATGCATTTCCTTGGCATTTTGTAGCAATCCATATATCTTTACAGATGAGCACTGCAGTTGTTCAGCACTCTTTATTTGTACTGTGATTTCAATAAAATGGATTATGTATCAGGTTGGATCGATTTGTAATTAAATTAGTCCAACTTCCTAAGATCTCTGAATAAGAGAACTCTTCCTAAGATCTCTGGATATCAGAGAATGAATGGCAACACTACTACTACTTCCTTGCAAGGCTGATCTCACTCTGTACTTGCAACAGCATCACTAAGTTGCATGAAACCGCTGTTTCCCTGATTACCTTTCCTAGTCAGGAGAGTAACAAAACTTTTGCTGAGCTCTACATACTCTGACACTCAGCCAGTCACACCAGCCTCTGAGCACTCAGACAACTGAAGTGCCACTGGACTTTATGGCAATGCAATGATTTCCTCTGAGTCATTATGCATATTATCAGGTCATGAGTGGCCTCCGTATCACTGAAATTTTACACATTTCCAGGGGAAAAGCCTTCAGCTTTTGTCCAGGAAGAGGAACTTGATCTTTATCTTTCTTCCCTCTGATCCATCACAAATCACAAACAAAATGGGAAAATGTAAGATTCTCCAGGAAAGAACACTGCATTAGTCACTACATATCAGTTAAGCTGAAAAGTAGAGAAGTCTGGCCAATGAGCAAAGGCACTTCGTAACAGTCCTGTGAGCAACAGTCAATGAGTCAACAATTTCAGTCTTGTGATCCAACTGACCAGCAGTGAGGGCTCTGCCGAGGAAGATTTTGTGGACGATGTAACAGAGGATTTTTTAGCACCTTCCTCTTGAAAAGGAATTGTTGCACTGTTGTGGAGGTCTGTATTCACAAAACACCTGCTGCCTCGAATATAATCCGTTCCCCTCACTAACTGCTTGTCAGACACTGGCCTTGAGAGGGGGTGTTGTGTGGAAGGGCTTTCTTCAATGATTGGGGGTATCCTTTCATTACTGAAGTACCTGCAGAGGACATCTTCACCTGTACAAACAGGAGGATAACCGATTATTGCTGACTTCAAAACCCTCTATTAACATTTTCTATTTTTATAAACAGATTCTGGTTACATTTCAAATTACCTAGCTTTTGGTTACCTCCCATAATACACCTGGACATAAGCAGCTATCAATAGATTTATGGCTTTTTGCATCTTTAATATTTTTTTAAGCAACACAAAGAACAATAAAATAAATTCACACGCAGAGAGGATACCATTTGACTGTTAAATTCCAGATTCACATGCACCAAAACTGCTAGTGCAGACTGCCTTCATGCAAATCATTATCACGAGCAAGATCTAACAAACCTTCTTGTAACATGTCAATCAAGATGCTGATAGACCAGAGTTGAATCCATGTTTACATAAATGTATCTCATGACTAACTTAAAAGCTACAAATATTACTCTGGACAACAGAAATTAATTTTGCAGGTAAAGATACAAGCACTTTCTTGGTTTTGACCATTGATTTGTGACACTTTCTCTGTTTATACTCTTCCCTAGACTCCTGACCACGGCAGCTGCTGCTAGAGATCTGGGCTACGCAGGCCTTTGTTCTGACCCAATACAGCTTACATATAAGCCTGCAGTACTTAAGTACATTTCAAACATTAAAAAAAAAAACACAACAAAACCAAAAGCAAAACCAAACAAATAGCCATACACACAAAAACCAGCCCTGCCACCCGGTGATGGTTCTGTTAGACTTGTTACTTAGCTTGTTTCTAATATCCCTCCAGGTTGATGTTTTTTGTTATCAGCTTCTATTTTTGCATTAAAATAATAGAATTCAGCTTTTATTTCCCCTAGGATTACACATTAGCTTTCATAACTGATTTCAATAATAAACTAAATAGTCATCTGTCTGATTTCCCACTCTAGCAGGACTCATAGCCTTTCGGGTTAAAAGGCTGGGAAGGAGAGAAGGGCAGTGGGGGGAAGCAAAAAATGCCATCCAGCCTTGAGAGCTTCCACCTCTCTCCCATTCTGTGACATTTTCAGGCTATGTTGTTTTCTAACAGCAGTCAGAGCAAAAAGCAACTCCTAAAAGGCCCTACATTTCAGAGAACAAGATTTTTTTCTACAACAGCCTCCACAGTAAGCTAAACAAACAGAAAGATTTATCAAAAAAGCAGTTTTATGGTCAATATTTAATGCAGAAGAAAAGGAAATGGGTGTAAGAGCAAAACGGTAAACCTGTGCTATAAAGAGACAAGTACAGATCTGTCCTAATCCTTCTAGCCTACTTTTAATGCTCACAAGAATTTTAAGACAGGGCAAAAAAAGTTTGAGCCCCAGCATTGAATAGCCTCACAAGTTTCACAACTACCATCTGTCATTCCTGCTAAAACCAACAACTGTCATCTTGGATCAGTTCAGCAATATGCAAATACTGATCCTCCATTCCCAATTTAAACATTTCCATCCAATTCACTCCAAAGAAATTTTGGAGAAGAAGGGAAGAGAAAGAGGGAAGAGACCTAAAACCTTGCCTTTTCTCCCTGGTGCGCGTGGCCTAGAGAAGGGTTCTGCAGCTCCTATCCAGCTCCCATCAGCAGGCATTGACAAAGGACGAGGTTTTCCTAAAGGCAACACAGAAGGTTCTGAGGAATTACATTAAGTTTAGGAAAATAATTTTTAAATTGGTACTTTTCACAATTAAGCAAAGGAAAAGATACAGCAATAAGGAATTAAAATTGTAGAATAAAATATTCCAAGTTACTTCCACTAGTGAAATATAAGAAAGCAATGTGCTGAGATTAAGCAGCCACACTTTGCTTGTTTACAGAAGCATTGCACAAAATGACCAAAAGTTATAACCAAAACACACATGGAAATGGCCAACCATAGCAACAGAGCCCAGTTGAATGACATTCATTAAAGAAATAACAGTATTTAAGCAAAATTATTTCAGATGTGGAATTTCATTCACATTCACAATTTGCACAGACTACCCTTAATATCCATCAAGTCAAATGAGCAGTTTTTTAACACAAATTATTCCAAACTGACAAAAGTGTTTATCATAACAACAATAATGAAAGAGGAATGAACTCACCATAGGACTGTGTTTTTTCCCTCATCTTGGCTGGTAGAATATTTGCTTCCATGGGATATCCAGGCAACTGATCTGAATCAGCAATAGTAAACCTTCGTCTTCGACTTTCCTGATCCAGAAAAGAATTCGGAGACTCAGCACCCTTGGACCCAGGTAGCAGCTGACTGGGTTTGTTGCATCCTCCATATACAAAACTCCCCTTTTCATCTCTGAAAGAACATTTCACTTCAGTTAGTAACTTAAGAGTTTCATGCTACTGACATGAGTAGGTTTGAAAGATACTACTAGCACCCAGTCATGCTCCTGATAACTGGCATCGTACTGCAAACAAGCTGAGGAAAAAAAACAAAACAAAAACAAAAAAAAAAGCAAACAAACAAAAAAAAACCCCACACAACCAAAAACAAAACCCAAACTAGTCAGGTGATGGAAGACTCCATTATAAATGTATCTACCACCTTCATGCTAATTAACTTTTAATGAGCCAGTAATTTAACACAGAGAAGTTTAAAGGTACCACCCCTGAAAAAGCTTTTGAGAAATGAGACCTTTCTGCCCTGAGGGTATTAAAGCTACCAGTTCACTGCCTGTTCAGTATACAGTTGTGACAGAGGAGTGCATACACATATTTATCCACCTCTGTGTAATGGGTAATGGCAATACCTATTACCTCCATCTGAGGGACTGTGCTTTTCAGTCATTATAAGAGCCCAATAACTGCCACCGAATATTCATCACCACCTCTCTCTATCCAAAAGTTAGAGTCCCTTGAGAGTGAGTAATAAATTCATAGTGTATCTACACATGATTTTGAGTAATTTCTGCAGGAACTCCCTTCCCTCATTTCAAAGGCCAGGAACAGCCATTTTTAGAACCAGTCCTTGTGAGTACTTTTGGAAGAAAAGCTATCCCCTCCAAGTTAAGATTTACGTGGGGTATTTTTCCCCTTCCCTGTACATGCTTCAATCTTATTGCTTGAAGCAACCGTCAGCCAAGACAGGCATAAAAATACAGTCGACTGCCTAAGCACAAACATAGTCCAGTATTCACAACAGCTCCCTGCCCAGTGCATACCACTTTTTCAAGCTCTTCATCAAGAACAATGTTAAAGCTCAGTGAATGGGAGGGAGCTATTAATGGAGATTCAGGGACTAGAAATTGCACAGAAGTGTTACACTACAACCGTATATATGAGGAGAGCTCTCCTACAACACCACCATGTGGAGACTGTGCTGTGGGGAGAGAAACCAGCCACTGCTCTCTCCCTCCCCAGTGTGGACCAGAGAAGATCCATGCCAGGAAGGGAAAAGAACAGGATGAAGAGGGGAAAAAAGAAACGACCACACAAATGCACTGCAGTTTCAAGAGAAACACAAACACGAAGAGCCAAACAGAAGGTGAAAGAACTGTCCTTTCTCCTCTTCCTGTCTGCCACAGCTTCCCACATTTGCTTTCTTTAAAAGTCAAAGTAAAGAAGCCTTCCCCTTTACACACATCATCCAGGACAAGTTTTTACAGCTCACACTGCTACTTCCTTCCTTGTCAACAGGGATCCGGGTCTAAAGGCATCTGAAGCTAGATATAATTTTGTGACTCTTTAGGAAAGATAAACAGACTGAACACATGTACATAATTCACCAATGTACTTGAAATGTAAGGATTTAAAGAAAAGACCAAGGCATTCTAAACTAGGCTGCTAAATCTATATGCTTGGCTTTATGCTAAGAGATTTTATTTTAAAGAACCGAGCACACATAAACATGAAAAACAGAGAGAACACAGGTCAAGGTGGGTAAAGAGACCCTACCTTGAAGAAAGCCTCTCCCCTGGCCCCAGTACTGCCCCAAAGACTGCAGTAATATAGCCTCTGTCTCTGTATCAGGCCTTACATAAGAGGAGGCAAGCTCTCCTCCCATATGAGTCCTGCAGCAAAAGGTCAGAGTTTATGTGCTGAGCTATCCACATGTAGCCTAAAGTGTCAGGGCAGACCACGAAGGATGCCCTGCCTGAAAACTCTTGTCCATCACCTCCCCAGGTCAGTTGGCAGGGTTCTGGCATGAGTCAACATGGATTTGAGAACAAACAAAAGCTAGCCTTAGCATACACCCAACCCCCTACCCCCACCCCACCCTTTCTGTACAAAGGTCTGCATTTTTATAGTTTACACCACAGGATAAAAAAAAAATTTAAAAAGTTGAATGAATTGACTCTCCCTTCCCTTCAGTGGGAACATTCCTGTTTTATACAGTTTGCGAGTTTAACATTTTAAAACAAGTTCTTTTCTATCCTAACTCCCACAACGGTTACTTAACTTGCTAAAAAAAAAAAGAAAAAAAACACACAGTGGAAAAAGTTACAGACAAAAATAACTTCTTGTTATGTGCAGTTAGATTTAAACAAAATCAAAAACATAACCTCACAATAAAGCCAGGGATGACATCCGCTCATGTTTTGGGAACAACTCTGATCTATATGGCACACAATAATCTTCTAATAATAAAATCTATTACAATCCTGATACTTTATGCATTTAAGCGTGAGCTTAAGCAATCCTATACATTTAATCAACTAGAAGAAAGTCTGTAAAATCTGAAAATTCCTCAGGCTAATCTATACAGAGCTTTAAGAGCAAGCCAGCTAAGAAACAAGTGTAATAATGGAGTTTTTTTGTTCAGTAGTGCATGTTTATTTGCATACCGAGGAGAATATGGAACAGCTGGTGGAGGTGGTATGTACAGATCCAAAATGGCTGGCTTCTCTTTTTTCAGTGAGGTATCCATGGTGCTTTCTGGTGACTGGGTTGAAGTTGGCAGAAGACTGGTCTGAAATGTTAGACAGCTATCAAACATCTGAGCATTGACTTATTCACAACAAGATAATTAAACAATCAATAGCACCATTTAATCTCCTAGTGAACTATTTCTGTGCTTAATAAACACATTAAAAACTCTCAGCATTTACATTTTCCTCCACCCCCAGTTTTGGCTAGCTTTGCAGTCCCTCCTACAGAAATCCTATCACGGGTAATACATTGCTCAAGAATATTTTTCTCTTTCCAGTTCTATTTTTCCTGCAAATTCCATACACAGAAAAATCACAGACAAAACCCCTTCCTTCTATTTTTAGATCCATTAAAATAATTAAATTTGTTAAATACAGGTATTGTCTGCAACACTTACAAAGCCAGCTCACATTACCCTTATTCCGTACAGTCCAGTGCCTGGGGCATAGACACGAATATGGTAATATTCGCCAAAAATTGCATCAAGTGATATAAGTAGGGTAAGTGAAGGAAAGGAACAATGTATTTGGTATTGTTCACATGAGTAAATTTTCCACTTTGCTCTTTGTGGCTCAGTTCTATGTCCCCAGCATTTTGCCAAACTCCTGTCTGTCTCTAGGAGAGAAAAGGCTTGAAGGACCCTTTCATCTTTGTTGAACAAGAGGACAACACACTTCCCTTTTTGTCAAGGGTCTGACCAGGCTTTCATTCTGGCCACTCAGTTAATGGCAAGCATCTGCCTTTTACTGGTCAGTATGCTGGAGCTCAGAACTGTCAACAGGCTTCTCCAGTCACTCACTCCACCAAGGAAACACTATTTGGCACAGCCTATATCCCAGTCCACCTCAGCTCTTCACACTGGTAACACAGTCCTTGCTTTGGGTAACCCTGGAAAACTCACTGGGTGGTGTTTTTTTGCCTTTGGCTCTAATTAAATGACAGGCATGATGCCACAAAAGCAAGACAAAGGCATTGATGAAAGGAGTTAAATGTACATCATCTACCCAGCTTGAGAGAAATCTGCCTGCATCAAAACTTGCGATAGCCATGGGCATTTTACAGGCTGATAAATTATCCTCACAGCTGTAGGGAGATCTGTGTCAGAACAAGAGTAGGAATGGGAACTCTCCCCAGTTTTCTCTATTTCAGGTAATCAGTTTAGATTCAATTCAGTTATTTTCTCCCATAAGCCCTAAGCTTCCTAATACAACAAGCCATTCCTCAGCATGGTTATTTAAGAATTATTAACATCACTTTCTCTGTCTGTCCATTACCCAATCTGTGAACTGCCCAACAACGAAATCTTATTTAAACAAGTTGTTTAAATAACTTCTTGAAAAACACTCACTCTTTCCCACACTTCACCAGACTAAAGAGAGGACAAATATATGGGATAATCTAAACTATTTCAGCAAAAACATATTACTCCGCTAAATAGAGTAAGCATTGATTACACCATGCTGACGAATTCCATACCTATCAGTCATTTCAGCAGTTTTGCCTCAGATAATCCATCTGTGTGCCACTGGGAGAACTTAAAATGCTCAACATGTCTAGTCCCTTTGTGTATCAAGAGGGGAAGAGAAGATAACATTTTCCCTTTTATCTAGGGGCCAGAAGAAGACAGCCATTTCACCTAACGTTCCTAGACCTATATTTAAACATGAGCACCTGGGAGCATTTCTGGCATTTCTCTTTTTCAAGTTGCAACCAAGGCATTCCCATCCTAACTTCAGAGTTGAGCCAGAAGCCTCTCACCTGCACCAAGGGTGGTTTCCAGCGCAAGTTCTTCAGCGGAGCAGGAGTGAAATGGAAAGAGCCAGTAGGACGTTTCTTAAGCAGCAGCTTAACTCCAGCAGGATTCTCTCGCAACTTTGCCACCAGATTTTTCAGTTGCCATCCAACCTGGAAGAGAATAAAGACATCTTTTATTTAGTACTGCTTTTCTGAAAGTGAACAAACAAGAAGCACTTAAATGCCCCAAGTCAAACTGTTTTAACATGAACCTAAAGAGAGAAAAGATGAAGGAAAAAATTGGAAAGCTTTTTTTGGAAGGTTGTTCTTTATTTTGTTTCAAAGAAAGATCTCTACTTAAGCTGTAAATTCAACACTGAGATACCAAACAATGCTCTTTATACCTCAGCTCTGGTTCTAGAAGAATGTATGGATGTACTCAAATTGAGTAACACAGGGATACAGAGTGAACTACTTTTGTCCTGTTTCTTTCTCACACCAAAAGGTATTGCTTACCTGTGCTAAGCAAAAATGTAATACTTTTACCTAAGTATTCAGATGCAAACTATTTGACAAATACTTGTAGGGCTGTTTAAAGCTGTTTTTATATATAATTCAGTAGATTGTAACAATGCATTTTAAAACAGGCCTTAAATACAACATGAAGTATTTAAATATGATGCACATGTCATTTAAACATGAAATACTGCATATTTATTTTATCAAAATATTGTGAAGAATAAAATGTGTTGAAAACAAAACACTGAAAAGCTTCAAATATTTCAACAGGAGGATATCAGAACTGCCTCCTGACCCCTTCCATTCAGAACCTGTGGGGAGGGAGCTCTGTAGAGCAAGCATAAGTGAAAGCTGGTAAGGCTGTTTGTTACTAACCACAGTTTGTCGATTAACCTGGATCACTTCATCACCAGCATGAATCTTCTGAGATCGATCAGCTGGGGACTACAAAGAGGAAAACAAGAGGCGTGTACTTCAGCACATTCTCTTCTCTCTAATAACAACCACCACCAAGCTAAGTCAAAGGTTTTATCTGTAATGAAGAACATTGCTGAAAATTTTCACACAGCTAGATCACACATTACATCTGTCGACGACTCGAGAAATTAAGATGAATTCAACTTATGTTTTATTTTTTATACTGGGGAAACTACAGGGAAAGGGAGAAGGCATACCCTACATCTGTCACAGGCCAATTTGTACTTAAATCGTGGGACAGTCTCCACTGTCCTTTTGCTTCCAGTTTGTACTGTAGTTTCAGACAGAAGTAGGAGAGGACTGATGAGAAGATTGCTATTCTAACACAGCAACTATCTTAAACTTAGCTTTCAAATAAATATGTACTGATTTAAAAAAAAAAATACACTAAGATTTTGAATGTGCAGAACAAAGGATCAAAATCCCTCTCCAACTCACAAAATGGATCCACCGCACTTTCCCTTTTTGTTTCCTAGCATAAATAAGAGCTACCAAATTTAATGTGAAATTACCTGCCTGCATCATCAAGGTCAACACAAAAATATATGCTTGCACACATCACACATGCATAGATAGGTATTTGAAAAACACCTATCTAATAATAATACGTCTTAAAATACAATTTGCTTGAATCAAAAACCAAGCTCTGGGGAACCACTAGCAAGGAACAGCTAAATGTGTCAATATTTATTTATATTTATCTGTGACTGGTGCCATGCACCAACTATTGCTGCAGTTCTTAAAAACAGTCTTACTGCTATAACACACCAACCCTGACCAGCCTTGACAACAACCGAAGTACACAGGCATACTACTGTGGTATATTGTACCCCAGTCACGGGACAATTCTCCTCCCATAACCCCCACCCCATGAGTAACCATCTGGCATCAGGCCAGCTCTTTCTAGTGACTCTGGAACTAAGCACTTGGATTAAGGACTCCCTTCTCTTCATCATCACACCTTCAGAGGTCAAATAAGTTATTTTATTAAAAGGATCTATAGGAGTAAACAAGGCAACAAGAGAAGAAAACATGGGGGAATTTGTGGGACACTCCAGCTATCATGAGTAACTCCATTTCTTCATTGTCCTCCCGCTTCCTCTGAGAGGAAATGCCTCTGTGGAAGGCTGCGTATATATGAGTCAACCACGATCGAGAAAAAAATGCTGGGCCAAAGTCAAGTTTGTGAAAAACAAAGCTCATTTTAAGCTGTCCTTTGAGCTGTCAACAGCTCATCTGGGGGAGGGTGGGGGACCCTTGCACAGAGGACTCCTACAGCAAATGCCAGCTAGCACAGCAGACACTGCAATCACACTGTGAGAACACAGGAAAGAGCAAAGTTTAGATCTAGGCCAACGTGATGGTGGAAGTCACAAGTAGGACAGCACAACTCAGGAATCCTCTGTGCTGACTGGTATCAAATGTATGGACTTCCCCAGCCCTTCCAAGGTACAGTCCTGTCAATTTTGGAGTGTAACTCCACTGCATTAAAACACACCGGCTTCTGGGGATAATATAACTAAATATATAATTATAACTAAAATACCATTCCAAATCTATCCAGAAAATTGAGCTAAGACTCAGCCTGGGTCATCTAAATGATCCCACGCCACAAGACAGACATCAGTTGTTTGCAGATCTCTCCATCATTTGTCAAGCTGTGTTGCTCCAAAGGAAAGAGCTTCACTAAAGGAAGAGCCAGTTTTCATAAAAAAGCAGATGCTTAGGCCAATGATCAAAGCTATAGAAGAAATACAGCCCCACTCCTGGCCCCAAAATGAAAAGTATGTACACAGGTAGCTTGTCGGCAGTCAACTTTACATTCTTTCACATTTATCAGATGCTGAAATTGCTGTCAAAGTGGACTTGGTCTCTGCCACAGATCCTATACAGAGTTATAGCAGGACAATAACAGAAAAGCTATAAAAGCTTTTAGTTTTCACTCTGAACTGCAAGCACAGATTTCCACCCACTCCTCGCTGGCCCCTGGATTTGGCAGAGATACAACTAGAACCACTGGTTCTTTCCTATTCATAGGAAAAAAAAAAAAAAAAAAAGAAAAAGGCATCACTGAAAAGGGCAAGTTCCTCTGCTCTTTTTCCTTTCAGCCCTTGCTTCTGTAGAGTGGCATGTCTGACAACACCTCAGCCTCACCCACCAGCCTCAGCTGCTGGCCAGAAGTCCACTGCAATGACTGCTCAGAAGCCTTTAATAATGTCTCAGCTACGGAGAACTCAGTATAAGAATAAAACAAGCAGCCATCTGTGGCAAAAAATACAGTTGCCTATCATGCCGACAGTTTCCTTCCAGCAGATCACTCTTAAAAGTCTTACTTTTTTGTAGTCTTTTTACTATGCAAGGTAATTTTGTCACTGAACAGCTCATTGATTTCATTACTCATTACTGAATTTAACACACTACCACTTATGCATTCCCATTAGGGGTGATTGCCTTTGCCAGCAGAGAGCAAATACGTTCAAGACTTTGTTAAGCAAGATACCATAAGCACTCAGAACAGAAGATACAGTAACTTATCAAAGCAACTGTTTTGATGCCAAGCATTTGAACTCACTCATGTACTTGCAGGAACTGGTTTAGTTAGACTAACAGTGAAACATGCAGACACAAAAAATTTACAAATTGTGGATAAACAAATGATGCATCACACAGTACTTAAAGCAGTAATATCATGAAAGCTGTATGTAAAACAGGAAAAAGTAGTAAAGAGTCAAACTAACTCAATCAAAGCCACTGTCAGGTAGCCTGAGTTAATCTACATTTACTTCACTTACGTTTTCTGTAGTTCCAGTAATTACATGTAATCCATCATAAGTTGATTTGATATACATTCCCTAAATGTAAGTAGAAAATGAAAAACAAGTTTAAAGGCAAAATAAACACATAACTTATCTGATTAAACAACTGTTGGCAACAAATTCAAAACATTATTAAAAACACTTAACAATTCACATATTTTTCCTAGAAAAGTGTGTGTTCCAATATTACAACATTCTAAACCTCTTCACAGATCACTTTTACAGTAATTAATTATAATGTTTATAAGGACTTAAAACACCAAATATATGGAATGCAATTTAGAAACTGGTTGGTAATACCAAACACTGCTGGTTTTGCTGCCTTGTCTTTGGCCTCAAATAAAAGTTAATTTCCTTACTGCCTGGTCTGCACTACAGAATTACAGGTTTTACTAAATGGCCACCAGCTCTCTCCATAGAAAGCACACTTACACAGGTGGGCTACAATATTGCCTGCATGTTCTTTTAGAATTTCTTTTGGCAAGTCAATATACAGACTGTCTGGCAACCAAAGTGCTGACATAAGCAATAAAAGCTCTGGCAGAACTAAGCATTTGTGGCCATATATGTTAATGCTGAGTGTGAATGCAAGGACAAATTCAGATGAAGTGGGTGTTGACCATATGAACACCAAATTAAAAAATCACCACCAGGATATTAACTAATAATTGCACAGATTTCCCCACAACAAGTGACCAGTACTTTGGTTCCATCATTTATGAACAAATACACCTCTACTTCTCTTATCTATATCTGTTGCTAGAAGCACTCACACCGAGCTGTACAGAATTGGATGTTATTCAGGAGTCATAGGCAGCGTATTTCTCTGAAGTTACCACACTTGATTAGAAGCACAAGGAAAAATACAATATTTTTTTTTTTGCCCCTTCCTATCCAGCCATTTCCCTTCCCAGTTTGCCTATTGGTATCCAATTGTGTGCACCTACCTCCTCATTTCTTACTTAGTCCAAGCTAGGTTGACTCTGCTTCATTGCAGCTTGTGCATTAACAAAGAGGTCCCCATAATTTCAAGAATGCATGACTGATTCAGTCAAATCCAGTGGCCTAGGTAAAACTATACAGCACAGTAAGACTGTAAAGCTCCCTCTAACAGTGTTCACCTCTTCTGCCTTTGGGGAGAGGGGGTGGGGGGGCAGGAGAATACAAATGCACTTAAGAATTTAAATTCCCTCCAACACATTCTAACATGTCTGTTCCCCAGCTAGAAAAATCCACCCAGATTTCAAACTCAGTTTTTCATAACCAGCACTCAGCTAAGCAGCATCCACTGTACAAACTAGATTCAGTAACGTTACGTGGCCACTGAACTTTTAAAAAGATTTCTCATATTCCTGCTAACAGCAAACCTCAAAAATCCTCGTATTCTTCTCAGTCTTGCTATAAACACACATAAAAGCATGTCTTTCAAAACACAATCATAATTCTTCATCTCCTACTCCCTCCCGAGCCCCCCTTAGAAAAACAGCTTAAGATAACCTGCAAAAAGAAAATGACTGATTTCACATGCATCTGTAAATTCCCCAACATCCTGCTTAAGACACACATCTGCAACAATTTACCATCAAAAATTGTATTTGGGATCAAAACTATAACATGCGTACCCACCTCAGGCAGCCACTCTGGCATATCACCTGACAATTCACCTTCAGAATTCCTCCCCATGCTTCTTTCTGTTCCCCATACAATATTACTGGTTTTGAAATAGCTTGCTATAGACACACATGCAGTGGCTCACGAGACTGCCTATTAAACACTGGGGACATCAACACACTCCAGAACTGGCTCTTACCAGGCCTTCCCCAGGCTTAATGTTGGTTAAATGAACCTCCTCCAGACACGCACACTGGCTCATCAATGGATCTGTAGTCGATCGGATGGCTTTATCACAAATGCCATTTAAAGTCTTGGCCTACAATAAGAACATACAAACAACAGTTACAAAATTTCTCTGACTTCTTCCTCTTTCAGTTTTCAAAGACCAAAAGGAAATGAGTTCTAAAACTTAGTCCACTAATAAAGCATAGTTAAGAATCACTGAAATAGAAGATTCATTTGTACCGATGTATTCTACAATGTGTTTATCTTCTTAGTGTAACCTAGTACAAACACCCTGCTCCTATGCCACCTCATCTTCGCTAACAGATGCCAACACATCCTCTATTTTAAAAAATAAACACAGAAAACATAGCAAAAAAATTGCTTTTGGGGTTGATTGCTTTAACCAAAATATAACCCGTGAAAATACTGAAACACTGTGATGATTCCTCATGGGAGCAACTGACAGTTCTTCATATTGTTCTTTATTTCTGCTATGAGAATAAAATTGGCCATGTGTCAGAAATGTGGTGCTGGCCACTGACTTATCTGCACAAAGCTTTACAGTATAAGTTAGGACATCTAGCACTTAAGCCTTTCAGCATTACTTCTCTACACTGTGCCTCTAAACTGACCTCTTCTGGAATGCTTACACAGGCAAGGTTCATATTTCCTTTTGACCAAAACATAACTGATCCTAAGCCAACATTATAACTAAAGGTGAATTCTGACCTTGTGTGTGTGTTGGTAAAGTCAGAGGCAGAACAGCTTTGTCTTGTAGAACTTTTAACTAGCAGAATGGCTAATTAATCAGGAAAACGGAAAAAAAACACAACATATTCTAAATATCTGTGCCCTCCCTACACTCAAATTTCATTAATGCCCCACAGTGTGTTTTGGGTCTTGACGTTAACTGAAGCAATGTTGAAATTCAAAGTGGGTTACAAAAGCTTAAAGGAGAGGGGAGGGAGGATTAGTAGACAGTACAGTAGTTAGCTATACACCATTTGGGAGCCAGCAAGGTAAGCCACCTTTCACAAGGGGCTTAACTCCTTCAGTCAAAATAGACATACCTAATTACAGGATGGGGGGAGCTGTCTTGTAGGAAGACATTGGTTTGGATTACAATGGTCCCTGGAAACAATAGTTCCAATGTTTTTAGGTTTGTTTTACATCAGATCTTTAGAGCAGCAATAAAATAAATCAAAACAATGCTTAAGTGTGAACGTGAGGAACTGCTCAAACAAAGGAACTCCAAACAACAATACCTACTTCCAGAGTGGGTGTGCACAAATGGAAAAAGAAAGATGCAAAAAACTCCCTTTTACGTGGTCTCACTATTTATGGACAAAATTATTTTTAGTTATTGTGCTACTAAATACCTAAGCATCTATGAGCTAGCGGAAGGCCTTATCAAAGAGCACAGCCTGGTTCATGTCAAAAGCAGGAAGCGATGATTAACTGTTACAAAATATAAAAAGCATTCCATTACACTCCTCATTTGGTCACAAGGCTGCTTCAAACAACCCTGAAAACTCAAGCACAATTAGAGACAGAACTTCATTTCTGTGGCAGGGCAGTTCTTTGAAATGAAGAAGCTTAATAAGGCATAGTGTCTGCTTATTAAGGCACTAAACACACATCACGGTCATAACTGCTTTATTTAGCTGATGATCATTCTAAAGTACTACCCCTCCTTTGAAAATCTGAGGTCTAAATTCCCTTAAAAAAATAGCTGTGCAATGAAACTTTAAGGAATGCTTGACTCCATGCTATTATACACACTACCCATCTGTTCAAATTTCATTGATTTCCTCTACAGTAAAGAATATTCATAAAATGGCTCATAACAATGTTTACTTGCATGATATGCTTGTATGTGTGGGATCGGAAAGCTGTTGTCAGTACAATCAGCACAGAAGCCACCAAAATAAATGTGAATGCAAGCAGTTGAGTTTCAACAGAAACGTGTACTTACTACAGTCTGAACTTTATCTTCCATGTCAGCCACAGGGCAGTCCTAAAAACAAAACAAGAATAAAAGCCCTACATTAACCAATAACCATGTAAACACATCATCTCTGAAAACTCTGCAAAACTGCAACTTTAACCCTGAACTGAAATAGAGTTATTCATGCTTGCAGGGATTAATCAGATTAGTTTCAACCAGTAGAGTTCAAATGTACTGTTAAACAACTATTTCCTGGCCCTGGTAGAAAGCAATAATAAACCTTGAAAACTAAGAGAACATGGGATTCAATTACAGCAGCAGACTTTTCCAGAAAAGCAGAACCCTGCACAATAAAACTAGACTCTCAGAAGGCCGAGCACATGAGCTTGCCTTACACCGATAAACCCCAACTCAGGTGCTCCTGTCCCAGGCATCAAAATGGGTCTAAAACTTATTGTTAAAGATAGAATGAAAAGTGAATTTTATTTTTTTTTCAAATATGCTATCAATGACATTCCTGAGGGCCAGAGGACTGCACACAAAGCATTATTTACACAGCCCAGGTACAAAAGTCTTTGAACTGAAACAAGTTCATGTAACAAACTACAGAAGTCGTCATTGTTTTCTTCAAGAAGAGCTGAACTACAGAATGGTATTAGATTCTCAGATTAAAAAGGTAAAACAGCAAGTAAATAATGAAACAAGATTTACAATATCTGTAAGGAGAAAAAAACCAAACCTCAAGCATTTAAACAAGCTTAAATCCCAAGATATTTGCACTTGACATCTCAACCTGCATAGTTATCACACAGTGCCCAAGAGATGCATCCAGGAGCTCTGAACTGAAGCTGTTCTGTATTTCTGATCATCCTCAACACTACTTCTGTTCCTTCCTACCTCTGTTCTGTGCTTTTAAATACAGAAATAAAAAAAAAAAAAAAAAAAAAAAAAAAAAAGTCCTCCAGATACGGACACACCAGGGACAGAAATTCAAAAAACCAGAGTCTTCCAGATATGGACACACCAGGGACATATAAACACAGCTCAGCTATGTTTTCTTTTATGTTTTCATAGTTAAGTCTTAACACACTGTTCACTGTTGTAATGACCACCAAGGACTGAGGCCACACTTTTTACACTCTGTCAAAAGCTTCCAGACACTACTACAAAGTTTAGGCTCCATTGTTATACGTGAGCATGATTTTTTTCTGCTAAATACATCTGCATGAATCAATAGTACTTGTCACCTATCATCATGTAACCCAGTTGTTCAATATTGCAAAGTCCTTCCACTCTTAATTTCTATTTACATTGATTACTTTAACCTTAAAGTTTGCCAGAAAACTATGAAACAGCAAACTCTGTTCCTTGTATCTATATAGCTGTCGTTAAAGTCAATGGGAATCTTACTGCATTCCCATCTAGCTTTATTATTCACCCACTTCTACACATCATTTATGATTATGCAGAGCAGCATTAGTTCCATAAGAACCACATTGGTCTTCTCCACTCTGAGAACTAATCTTTAACTCCTACACTCTATTTCCTAATAAGAAATACTTTTGAAGACTAAAAATTCACCTGAAGATTTTTCAATTGTATCTCTTTTCCACATCAGTGGACTCCTTCGGACTATTCTGCAGTGACCCAGTACAAAATAGCGTTGATTCTTCCCCCATTAATGCTTATTCTCTTATGCACCAATCCCATTCTTTATTATAGCTCATATCAAATTGGCAGAGAAGTATCCTGGCGCTTTTTAAAAGGCTAGGGTTGTATTCATCATCTTCCATTCCCCTGCCATCAAAGGCTGATTTAACTGACAGATTAGACACCATTTTTAGTAGTTTTATTAATATAGTTCAGCAATTTCATATCTCAGTTCCTGTAGCACTCTTGGGTGAACACCATCTGCTGCTAGAGCCACTTACTGTTCTACTTCACAATCTGCAAATCTGTAGCTGTAAATCACTGGCTTTCTGCAGTTGCACACGCAACACCCAAACAAGAAGGGCATTCAGCAGCAAGCCAAGCTTGTGCGCCTTTGAACTTACAATATCCAGACACTAGCCTTTCACAATGATCCAACTGATATAATTGGGTGTCATCATAGCTTAACAACTCACAGGATGTTTCTGTCCTTTGAGATCATCCCCTCAAAACAGGGAGGGAATCACCCATGTTGCAGGACATGGTCCTTCAGAGTGCAAACAATATAGAGCCACCAACTAATGGCTACAAGCAAGCTCAGCAGGAACTGAAGCGTGCACACAGCGCTGCAGAGCCAAAGCAGTGGCACACTGTCAGAACAGTTTCAAAAGCAGGCAGTATTAGTCAGAAAGCAAAATGACATCATTTGCCAAGGTTGCTACAAGTCTTTTTAGCTTTTACCAATCCGAGCGCTCATCACACAGCTGATAAACGGAAAGTTTTGAAACAAAACATTGAGGTCTCACACCACTGGCAGAAGCAGCTTGGCACTAGCAGCATTTGTATCATAAAGGTGACAGCACCTTCCATTACATGCAGCATTTCCCATCTGATGGCTAAAACACTCTGTATGGTATAAGATCTAAGGAGTCTGCAAGGATGGGTATAACAATCAATGGAGTAATTTTTGTTTACAGTAACTGTTTTTCCAACATACTTGGATCTTGAAAATCTTCAAATGCAGACCAACTATTTCAAAAACTAACACTCTACCCATTAAAGTTCGAGAAAACATGAGTAGCCTTTAAACCAGTCACTTAAAACACAGCCAGCAATAGCAAATTTGGAAATAAAGTGCAGGGGGAAAAAAAAAAAAAAAAAAACTCAGAAAAATGGACAAGTGAAGCTGACCTTCACAGACCTTAATAGTTTCAAGTAAGCTCTTATTTCCACATCTGCCTTCCAATTAGCACTCTGCACACAGCGAGCACATTACTTCCCCAAACACCCACCTTCCTTCCCTTTTGGAAAGCAAAGAGGAAAAGAAATCAGCTGACCTTCTGAACAGTAGTAGTAAGATCCAAGCAGAGCTGAATGATTCTGTTCTTCATTGATGAAAAGTCAGCAATACCTGTAAATGGGGTCCTGCAACAAGAGAAAATTCCCCTTAGATAGGAAGGGCCAATCTTGTCCCATCCTACCTTATCAGTGAAGAAGAGCATGTGAAAGCAAGAGCTGTAACTCTGACATCCACACAAGAGTGAGGATAGTTTTACAATACAGTACTCCTGACTGCATAGTCCCATTCTGTCCTTGCACCAAAATTCATGAATGTGGAAAGCAAGTTCAGAGAGCAAAACCTGAAGAAACAGACAATTTTCCAAACTACAGTTCTCTCAGCTGCACGCTCAAGTCACATCACACTGACTGTGTTGTAAAAATCACACGCTTGAGTTTGCCAGTGAGTAGATGTCTAACTTCCAAGTCTTTGATTACTAAACTCAAACTGGAGAGGAAAAAAAAAATTCTCTAAAAGAAGAAAAACGGATTTTCACATTTTACACACTGAGGTGCAGTGAGGCTCAATCTTAGAGAAGGAGCATTACAAGTAGGGCAGGTTTATTGCCTATAGAGTCTCACCTCAGGCCCTCCAGACAACTGAAAGAGCTAGAAAGGGTGTTGAAAATTAACCCCGGCAGGTTTGGAAACAGATAAGTGAGTCATCTTGCTGACAGTGAGTTGCAAAAGAAATTTAGGGTGAGCTGCCAGCAACAGGGTGAGAAAAGAGTACCAGGTGAAAGGCACAAGCTGTTAGCATCACTGCCTGGGCACAGAACCGACTCCTTGTTGGGCAGCTGGGATACTGAAGGACAAAAGTGCTCCTTGCTGCTGGGCCCCATGCAGCTCTCCTCATAACCTATCCTTCTCTGGAAAGCTGGCAAAGGGCTTTTTATGTTCATCTGTTATCACAGACAGCATCCCTGCCAGCACCTGACCAGCTCTGTTGCCTGCTTGTTTCCGCTGCAGCTGTCACAAAACAACTCTGGCTCTTGCCAAGAAAAAAAAGAATTCAAGGTGGGTGGAGGGGACCCAAAAAAACAAACCACAAACAAACAGGCAGAAGGAGAGTCTCTCCAGCTGCTTAATTTCCAAATCGCAGAGCTAAGGCCACAGTTTCAGCAGAACATTACAAATTCTTTTAGAAAGGGACCTGACAATGACAAGTAATTTAGAAGGTGGGAAAGGGAGAAGAGGAAGTCATATATGAGAAACTGATCCGAACTCCTACTTTCATAAATACCAGTTTGGATGCAGTGTTAACCGTTTCACTGGTTTTAGCAAGAATGGAAGCACAAGAGTAGATAACCTAGCTTAAATTTGTCCACTAGAGGCCTTCTGGCAACACCAAAAACGGGGTGAGAGAGATCAAGATGACACTCAAACATCTAGAAATTGCCCTACAAGGAGAATAAATTCATTATAGCAGTAAATTAAAATATAAATATTTTCTTCTTACCTGTCCAACCACGCAAGCAAGGCTTTAGCAGCACCAATAAGCTCTACCACAGAAGTAAGAAATTCATTGGGGGGCTTGCGAGAGGTATTTCCATCATAATTTGAATTTTTTCTACGGCTGCTGATGTAGTTTTGCAGATTGTTGGATGATGCTCGTAGCTTGAGAACCAGGTTCTTCATATTGTCTGTTTCAAGGCCATAGTTCTGCAAGGAATATTTTTAAGCTTTATAAATCTCTCTATTGAGTCCTCCTATTTTACCACAGTTACAAACTCATATGGAAAAAAAGGTCTGAGTATTTGCCCAATTTTTTTTCTGTTTTCTGGCAAAAAGCCTTATTAGACTTGGTCTACACTACAGCCACTAAAGGATACTTCTGTGGGTGCCAAACCCCTTCAGTTTCTGACACTGACATTTGAGGACACTTTTCAACCAGAATGAAGTCTCAATGTTCTATCAGATGTCATTATCCATTAAAATGTAGCTGGACTAGCAGGATTGTGTTGTTTTTCTTTTTGTTAAAGAAAAGAAAATGCTGGTTTTTCTCAAAATGTTTTCTATACTGTGGTACATAAACATTGAGGTAACATTTCATTCACAACTAAATATAAATTTTATCTGGCAAGAGATAAAACCATCCACAGGAAGCAAATGTAATTTCACAGTTAAAAGCTGGAATAAATATTTGGATCACAAGTTTTCAGTAACTGTGCCCATTGATTACAGCAGTGCAATTACTTACAAGTTTGAGGACTGCATTAACACTATACATAGTAATTAAAACCATTCTTAGATGTCATATTTTTCATTCAACAGCATCTTTATAAAAATTTTTGAAACCTAAAAAATCCATGTCATGCCTATAGCTTCAACTTTATAAATTCAAATACAATCAAAGCACACTTCATAAGATTAAAACCCAATTGTTTTAAGCAACACATTGATCATCTCATTCCAGACATCAGAAATGCTATACTGTATCTGTTTTGAAGGCAACTCAATTTTGTAATCAAGATTTTCTTTTTTGCTGTCAGTGTGCACATATGTGAATTATGTAGTAATATGTTGCCAAGTATCTTTGCCTTTGAGTTATCCCATCTTGCAAAACCTCTGTGGTCATCTTCTAGAAGTTAAGGCCCAGGCAACACTAGCTCTTTTAAAGTGAAATTTCCTACTTTTCTTAAAAACAAAAACAAAACAACAAAACAAAAAAACACCCAAAAATATAAAAAAACCCTTCCCTTATTATTTTGCTGCTGCAGATTGTTGCTACCAACCTCCAAGTTTCACAGTTTAGTCAGCTATACTATCTACTCTTTTTCCTTGCCCACTCAAAAAATTAAAATAACTAAAACAAATTTTAATTCCATTCAACTCCAAGTTTCCAGTGGTTCCCCATGCCTCCATTCATGATCACAGCATCACTCAGGCTGGAGGGGAGGTCCGGAGATCTCAGTCCAACCTCCTGCTCACAGCAGGCTCAGCTGTGAGCTCAGACCAGCTTGTGCAGGGCTTTATCCAGTCAGGTCTTGGGAAAAGACAAAGACTGCACAACCCTTCTGGGCAAGTGATCCACTGACTGACTGTCCTCAAGCTGAGAAAATGTTTCCTTATACCCCTCCTGAACCTCTTATTTCAACTTCCACCCAAGTCTCTCATCCTCCCACTATGCACCACCGCGGGCAGCCCAGCTCTGTCAACCTGCCAATCCCATCCCACCGCACAGCAGCTGCTGGGGATCTGTTGTTAAGCCTCCCTGAAACCGTCTCTTCTCCAGGCTGAAGAAGTCCCAGTCCCTCAGCTTCTCCTCACAGGTGAGTACTCCAGCCCTGACCAACCTGGTAGCCCTCCACTGAGCTCACTCTTTTTTTTCAGGGGACATATGTAGACTAATGAGCGCCAACTAAAGGGTGATAATCAGTTCCCTCCCTCTCCTGGCCATGCTCCCAGTAATGCTGGCCAGGATGCCCATGACTTCTTTGCTGCCAGGGCACACTGCAGGCTTGTGGCTCCATTCCTTCCACAGCCAAGCATCCATAAAACAGGCTGGAATATTTTAGATTAAGTCATTTACAAAACATGAAACAGAACCTTTGCCCCAAAGAAACCCATCAGTCTAAGGAAAGGTTTCAGCCACTCAGCTACCTTTAAAATACCAACCACCTACTGTGGGTAAGATCCCAATGGGTGTAAGGTACACAAGTGCCTCCCTCCTCCCCCTGAGGGCTCTTGGCAAGGAAGTACCCTGAAAGTGCAGCCAGAAATAGGGGTTGAAAGGACATATTCAGTTTTGAAAATGCCACTGTTGCAACAGCAGAGGATATCCTTAAATTTTCCAAATTCACAGAGAGGGAAATATTTGGATTACTAGACAATGTTAAAGTACTTGCACACTGTCATGTGCAAACTTATCACCTTTTAATTTAAAAAGAAAAAAGCAAAAACAAAGAGCATCATGCAAGTGCATTCCTTGCAGGTAGTTTTCTCCTCCTCACAGGATACTGCATATTAGTCTATTTTTGGAAGAATACTTTTTCACCAACAAGTCTAGATGTGGGTTAAGTTCCTGTGACCACAAGAATTTGAAAGTAGCCACATGCCAGAAATCTCCCACTTTAACAGGGGAATTAGAGGACACTGACAGCCCTCCACTCCTCCTCCCCTTCTTCCATAAAGGGATGGAAAATACAAAATATTTTTTTTCTCTACGGTGGTATAACCACCTAATCAATCTGGTCAGAAATTGAGAGAGTCTTCATATATATTTAAGTATCTCCAGGTCTTTCTTTCTGTCATCCAGATGCAGAAACTGTACCCACCACCTGTGGGAGTCTGCAATTAGAGATGGCCCCAGCATGTAAGAGGACATGTGTTGATATACAAGGCCAGATTTTGGCTTTGTCCCTAAAACCTTCACATACTCCTTATCACACCTCTTTCGCTGTATTTATAGAGCGACTCAATCTGGTGTGACTTTTCCAGTTCAGCTAGTTTTTAAATAATTCTGTCAAGTAGTTCTCATTTTTGAGATGGACTTCAGCAATACAGTTGTTGCCTCTGGAGATATAGGGGCTCCAGCTTATGACTGCAACAGGTCTCCCCAACAGCCTGTCAAGAGCACATCACAATCAAGCTCTCCAGCCACTACATTAAGCTTTCCTACAGCTTCCCCCAGAGACTCTACAGAGTGTACCTGAGATATCTAAACCAGCATTTTTTTCCTCTAGGAAAAGTCCTGGCTAAGCACTATGCCTGCCCAGTGCAACAGGGAACATGCAGCTCTTCAGTACAGGTGACTGAATTCTCCAATTATGGATCAGACCTGAGGGACCAACTTCCCCAGAACAAAATGTCATCACAACCCAAACCACCTCTTCTCCAGAGGCAAGCCAATCTCCTCACCTGTTTACTCTAATATACAGAAAACATTATGTACCTTCACCAGACACAGCAATGTTTCTATCCAAGCTAACACTATCTTGATCATTTCACACATAACAACCTATTTCTGCCATTTTTCTGTTCCTTCACTTGAAGCATCCAGTCTGTTGGAAGGGCTGGTCTGGGGAACTATGCAATTCAAAAAAATCTATTCCCTATTTTACTGTAGCATGCTCTCAGCTGCTTTAGCTCCCTGAAGTAGCTCACCTCAGGGTCAGGTGAGTGCAAGAACAAAAAAACAAAATCACTAATCCGAGGACAGGAGGGGGTGGAGGCAGCAGCTGACTTGGATTAATTTAATTTGTCATGGAGCTGTAGCCCCAATTCAGGACAGATAGGAATGTTGATAGTGTGGCAGCACACCAAACAGCCTTTACAGAGACACACAGTTGAAATGCAAAGTTTAGCAGGCTTTTCTGATGTATTTTTACAGGACTGGGGTACAATGTTTAACAGATTATTATTTAAGCAACCAAAAGGTTTTAGATGTTTCTCATGAACCAAAGAACACATTACATTTTCCTATCACTCCCAATTTAAAACATCAAAGTTGCTTTCATCAAAACACAGGCTGAAGCAGCAGTCAAGAACACTCTGTGACAAACACTCCCAGGTTATTATTCATTAACATGGGAAGCCACATGCAGGGCTGGAGCGAGACAGCACACACACGTGCACAAGAGAGCACATGCGCACAAGAACGCACTCTTTCCAAACTCCCTTACATTTAATGAGAAAAAGTACACTGAGCAAATAACTGCTCATGATCAGGCAGCCAACATAAAATAAAAATAAATTTGAGAAGTGTGACTAACTTAAGTCAAAAAAGCGCAGCAGTTGTGTCAGAGCTGACTTGGGCTGATCTACTGTCCAGGGACAGCATCACCTTCCCCTTCACAGCCAAGTCCACCTGCTGCAGCGTGATGAGCTGGATCTGCTGAAAACCAGCTCTGGAAAAAAAAAAAAAAACAAACCAAAAAACACACACAAAAAAAACAGACTGAATGCCTGCTTGTAAACTGATCCAACTCACTGCATACCTATATAGCCACTAGAGTTAACACTAGGTATTGTCACAGTCACCCATTCTTGCTCTCTACTTTGTAACAAAAATGCATCTTAAAGAATACTTTGGAGTCCCAAATTTCCTAGCAAAGAGCACTACATTTGAGACCTCTAGAAAACTGTAATCTTAGAAGGCAGTGTATAGAAGTGGTGATTTTGACAAGGATTAGCCAGAAAAGATAAGTCTTCATGTATGTATGCTCTGTGTTATGATGTTTTATTTTGCTGCACTGCAAATATACTGGCAGAACATTAGTACCAGATAAATTATCAAAAGGCACAATACTAAAATCTATGTTCCTTTTGTTTTGTGGTTTGGGTTTGTGTGTTGGTTTTTTTTTTTTTTTAGATTGCTTAAAACTAGTATCTCTCCATTCTAACCTCAAGAAAAATCAGCTGGTTTCTTTTGCTTCCAAACTCTCCCATCACATAGTTTAGGTAGATTCAGAAATCTAATCCAAAGAACACATTAAAAGTGAAAATACTTGCATACAGTTTCGTGTTAATGTTTGCACTCTTTTATATTTTTAAGCCCAAACAAGCAAGTTTACTCAACAGGGAATGATGAGTAAGTATTCAATTTTCACCACTACTAGATGCTTTTTGTCCCAATTATTTGGCTGAGAAAGCTTATTTTCTGGATCCCTGCACCTGCTTTTATGGTTTTGCATGAGTTTAAAAAGCATATTTATGTATGTTTCTTTTTCCCTTCCTCAAATACTTCAGTCAACTAAGAAATGTCATCTTCCCATCCCTTTTCTCCCCCAAGCAAATATTGGCATTGACAAAAACATGGAGGCACTCAAGCTGATGATTTTTTTCCCCTCTGGGGAATTCAGTTACTTCGATATGTCCCGTAAATTCCTTACATAAGTCTTTAACACCTGTTCTGAAAAGTCTATTAGACCAGCTTGAGAGCAACAGAAATTTTCCTCACAGGAAACCCTCACTTTTTACCCCTGTCCACTCTCTCTCCTGCTGCCTCTTCAGCTGCAGCTTCAGTGCACATGTGGCCACTGCTACAAGGGAACACTGCCTCATCACCAAAGCAGCAGAGAAAGGCGCAATAATTTCTCTTTCAGCTATAGTGGTTCTAGAGTTTACTTACTGCAGCAGCAAACACCATAACTTGCAGACTAATTTTCAGCTTGACAGTGTAGCTGCCAAAGAAGGCTCTACCCCTATAAAATCTTAATTTTTTTTTTTAAAAAAGGTGTATTTGGTGTCCTTTCTCAGAGAAAGGACTATCTTCACAATGCATTTTTACGACTGATCTACTGAGGCTGGAAAAAAGGTCTGTATGGGCAGTGCCTGACAATAGTTACTGCAGGAGAAAGATATTCTGCCAAGTGATAAAAAGGGAAATGATTCTTGAGAACTCCAAGACTGGGAAACAACCAAAACTCCCTCTCAGGCCTTCCCCACCCCCCACCAAGAACAACAACTTTGAAAGCCTGACCTTAGGCTGGCCCAGCCAATGCCACATTTCCACAGTTTAAGCTAAAAGCATAGTGGGGTGGTGGAGTGAAAGAAAAAAATAAAAAGGAAAAAAGGGAAAAAAGTCCCCCAGAAATCCCCAAAATAATCCTAATTCAAGGCCTCAAAAGCTATGGAAATGGCACCATATGTACACACAAACACAAAAACCATCCACTAAATGATACACAGACTGACTTTCAAAGAGCTAATACAGGTGGAATAAGGAAACCTTCATTATCTCTTCACAAAAAGAATAGACAGCAAAGTAAAAAATTGACCGTCACTATAACTTAAAACACACCATCCCCTCAGGAACAAAAGCAACAGTGATTTTATACAGTGATCTCAAGGGCATCAAGGTGACAAAAGGCATATGTAAAGCACAGGAATTCTTCCTCCACCTCTTAAAAGGGAACAAGGACATTTCAGCTGCAATATGTGAACTCTGTCTAATGCATTAACTTGAGCTGCATTTCACAAAGGATTTCCAGAAATGAGTCTGAGGTCAAAACTTTTGTCTACAAAGGAAATTAGGAGGAAACTGTAGGAGATAAAACACAGCTTTAGGTTCTGGCGGTCATCCAGCTTTGTTCATTTTATTCTAGTCTTTTAAAAAGTAAGATGAAAAAAGTGCCATTGGGGGCTGTCACATCCATTAGTTCAGTCAGGACTGTATACAGCACACAGTACATTTAATAACACAACAGACCCCTTCACTTGCCCAGCAGATTATCCCTTCCCAAAACATGAACTATATTTCAGGCTAATTACATTGTTGTATTAGATTTTCAAGTTGAATGTTAAAAATGCTTGATAGATCAAATACTGAAGAGGAAATAAAATATTTTTTCAAATACAAGAGCAACTCTTTGGGAAAAAATTCAGGTTGTGTGAAGTGACTTCATTAAATACACTTCTTTCAGTACAGGCTACCCAATTTGTTCCTGGTTATGGAGTACAAATGATCCCTGCTACACCTCTCTGCAACAAATAAAGCACATATCACACAGGCAATAAAGACTCTCCATTATAAGAAGGGTATGCTCTGTGCTACAAGTTTTGCCTTTGAAGGGAAGGTAGGCCAGAGCTGGCCAAGGAATCATTGGGCAGCCTTTCCCACTCTTCTCCCTGATGTAATCATACATACCTCTGGCACTCATTCACTGCGTTACATCAAACACGTCTTCGAGACTGTGTCCAAACTATGGCTTTTAAATAAAGCCTGCACTAGCAAAACAATCTGAAATATATTTATTCTTTTCAGATTGTGTTTGTTTTAAAAGTATCTGTACACTTATGTATGAGGAGTAAGACAGAGGAACAGCTTAAGTTCTGAATCCAATGAGAGTTGAACTCAACTGTAACTGAGTTAGCAAGACATCCCTCATTTCAAAAACATTTTATTCACTTTGTACATAGACTACAGAATTGCCCTAAACCCATTTCAGCTGATGTGAGGGACCATTAGCAGCTGTCATTTCATCAGTATGTCTTCTATGTTTTATGAGAAATTCACTCAATAGCAATTTTAGTCACTGTTCACTAACAGAAGCCACAAGATCTAACAATGCTACTCAGAAAGCTTCTTTCTTTAGAAGTGTAACCAAAGGAATTAGCATTGCCTCTTATCAGGAAATAGTTAAAGAGCTATTAATACAAAGCTTGCAAGACTTAAACAAATTCTGTTTTCTTTTACCATGGTGTGTAACAGAAAGCAAGAGGCACAAGTATTCTGATTTTATCAGACTCTCCTTAGTTATTCACTCAAAAGAACACTGTAAGAAACTCTTTGTGCGTCTGTTCACCACTTAACTAACCAGTGCACACAGGAGATCCACAGCCTCTAGAACCAGTTCCTGATGTCCAATCCGTGAGATACCCATGTCTTCAAGGTCCTGGTGAGAAATCTGTAACAGCTGTTCACCGTTTATCTTCTCCCGTTCAAATTTACAGACATACTGTTGCAGGCAATCGTCCAGGCCTACCAAAACACAAGAGAGAGAGAAGGGGATGTGATTACAAATTAAAAAAACAAATAAACAAAACTAAAACAACCAACCGCACACAACAAAAACAAACCCTGTGAAAGGTACAAATGCAAGTTCATACAGTATGCAATGCCGAATTATGAAAGAAACTGCAGTGCAACTGAAGTTGTATCCCAGGGGCACAGAAACAGAGCACGCAGGATATGCGGGTCTTTGGGTCACCTAAGTCAATGCATGACCCACCTGCTCCTTGTGGGTCAAGCTCAGCAGGTAAAAACATCCCCTTGGTGTCTGCACAGGCAAAGCTATCAGGGATGTGCGTAGATTCTGCTCTCAGGGTAACCCAAAAACCCTGAAGGGCAACCAAAGCAACAACAAACAAACAAACTAACAAAAAAAACTGACCAAAAAAAATGTAAATACAACAAGGCAAGGCAAGAACAAAGATCTTGCCCAAAGCCTAGTTAAACAAGCAAACAAATAAAAGCACAAAACCCCACAGTTCCCCATCCACTTTTATATAAGGGCTGAATGAATGATGAGAGGAAAATGGAACAAAGGCAAAGCAACCAAAATGATGTTTGGCTCAAGTCTCATTATTCCCTTGATTTATGAGACCCTGCAGCTTCCCGAATCAGCCATTCCTTCCCCTTGCTAAGGATTAATGGCACACACCAGTCGGAAATCTAATTTATTTTTGTATCTGTCAAGTATTTTTAAAACAGTTTAGAGTACTGCGTCCCAAAATCCTCACTCTCAGTTGTGATTCTATGATCCTGTTCTCTACAGTATCTTTTCCCCAGTGATTACAGAAAGGATTTCTGGTTTTCATTTTGTGGTATTTAACTAAACTTCAGGTGTTAATCCTGTTTCCCTGTGTATTCTGTACATTTGCTCTGTTCTTAAAGATCCTGTGTACAGCAACAATCTGGGAAAAAAAATTGGATGGATGCGTTTTTTTAAAGATGATGCATTGATCTTGGTACACTTTTCCACTTCAACATATTAGCTAGAGCAAAAAGGAACAGATCCAATTAGAACTGTTTTGTAGAAATACACCACATTAACTGAAAATAATTGACAAAAAAAAAAAATCAGATTACACATTCAACATGTACTTTGTAGTATCCACAACAGCTACACTGTTTGACCACTGGGTTTTAAAAAAAAAAAAAAAAAATAAATAAAATTTGAACCTTTAGCTGTATAAAGGATGTTTATCCACTACACTGGCTCAAAAGGAAGCCATTAAGATGGACAGGATGTCGAAGGCTGCAGATGAGAAACACGAGCAGCATCCTGAACTACACGGAAATGAGAGCCAGAAGACCAGCCCTCAGTTCCACTCAAGGAGCTGCAGTAGCAGCCTGGAAAACAAGCACTCCCGGCACACTCTCTTGCCAAGAAAACATTCAAGACGAATCACAAGGGGGGTTCTAGGAGTCACATGAAACATATTCATTTCATAACAGCACCACAAGCAGTCACTGCTGTCTTGCAGTGTCTGGTCACAGCAGATCTGTAGATCACAGACTCTCAAAGGCACAGGCTTACTTAACAGTCACCCCTTTACATGACTCGGGCAAGCTTAATTATTGCAGTACATCAAAATCTGGCTAAACAAGCTTGACTCCTCCACGTGCAGAGCTACCATTGTGCACAGCTTGATTTTTAAGCACAATTATGAATGGGAAAACCCGCATGCAAGATGAGCAGTCTCCCAGGGCTACAGTTGTTTGGGGTGCACTCTTGTTTCTTCCCCTCTGTCTTGAGAGGCCCACATAAATTTTGAAAATTGAGCCCAGTGTTCTCTTTCCCACAGGCACCAAATTCTCCCTTAGGCTATATAAACTATTTTCCCAGGAAAAATAATAAAAAGATCTGGCTTTCATTGTTTAACAATTTATTTTTTCAAAACAAATTCTCAACCGAGTCTGACATACAGTGCACATATTTGGCATTCCCAATTTTTAATGCTGTCTTGTAGACCACTGTTTCCCATCATTTGCCACTGTAAGCCCATAGTTTCCATTGCAAATTACACAAACACCTAAAATAAAACACTTTATTCAGCATCCAATTAAGCTTTTATTTTTTAAGTTTTCTGGACACAGTGTGGCCTTTGCCTACTATCCTTTCTGTGTGTTGGCTCAACTTCCTAGATCCTCATTCTATTCTAAAACTTGAGACTCACAAATGTACATATCCCCCCCAAGAAATACAACTACGGTTTTCAGCTTTGCATTTTTTTAATTCATGCTTGCCTGTTCTTGAAGGTCTATTACAACTTGAACAGCTACCTCTAAAATGTTGTTTTGTTTTGTTTTTTTAATAAGAGCCCTTAAAAACAATACTTCTACAATCACACTTTAAGATTATGTTTTATAAAATAAAATATTACAAAAATCACACAAATGTTAATTCAAAACAGCCGACGCAGTGGCAGAGCCACTCAGCTATAAATGTATTTAAGGTTAAGTGACCAAAACTATGCAAAGCAGGAAGTGAAGGCAGACCCACACAACTCATGGCGAGCATTCACTAATGATATAAGATGAGCCTACTAACATTAGTTTTGTTATCATTTTTACTAAGAAACATATGGAAAAAACTTAAACATTTTAATTGAGTTTGAAACCACTTTTATAGCCTATTGTTTAATTTTCCATCGTATGAATGAAATGTTTAAACATCGTATGCAAACCAAAAAAAAAAAATCCTATTTCTCTAAGAGGGAAAGGAAAAGGGAGGAAAAAAACGACTCATAAATCAGTTCAATAAAATAAAGTAATATTGAAGTAGAGTTTAAAAAGTCAGCATTCAAATGCCACTGGTAATCTAAATGAACTGCTCATTTTTCCTTCTTCCAGACACCTCAGTTCTTTCTATGTATTTTCTCTGTGAACTTCAGAGCCTCACATAGAGTTGGTATTGCCCATTATCAAAGTTGGGATACTTTTAATAAACATAGATGAATTAAAAGCTATAAGGAGCAGTCTACGTTACTCAGACACCTTACATGCCAGGTCATTTTCAACAGTGCAATATTAGCAGGCTCAAGCAAGAAAATAGTTTTCCCTACTTCTGAAAAAATACAATTAAGATTTCACCATTGGAAAAGATATCTATATCTCCTTTACCCACCGAAAAACCTTTGTGAGGTCTAATCTATTCATTCTATGTTTAAAGTGTGTTTCAAAAGTATGTCTCAACTGCACGTGAAAAAATTTTGTTACTCCTTGCACATATACCAAAACCATGCACTAAAGAGAACATGCTTCCTACTTACATAATGAAGGAAGATGGTAATAGAAATAGCAATTGCAGAATGTCACCCAGGTTTTACAATAGTAACAGTGATTGGGGCAGGGTGGGGAGGGAGAAAGATGGGCTAGTCTAGTCAGTGTTACTTGTATTGTGAAAACCCTTCTGAGGAACTGCAGTGTAACTTGAACAAAACTCCCTCCCAAACTTTGGCAGGTGTAGAGATGTGCAATAGATCCTAAGAACTGTCTAGACTTTTCTGTCTAAAATAACCATCCACTACCACGCAAAGCACACCAGAAGACATTCAATACCTCGCATTCATGCAAAAGCATTAGGACAGGGCTTACACTTACAGATTTGCACCGATACCAATCTCACTCTGCTTCCAAGATTAAGAACGTTATTTTGAATAAGAATTGAGGGGGAAAAAACAACTTTTAGGGGGTTAAGGGAAAGGCTTGGATCTAAGCCATAACTATCAGTTTACTATTCAGAGAGAATTAACATTTCTACTGTTGATAGATGTCAGCCATTCAGCAATAGCATATCTCACTCCCAAACTACTTAGACATATGTGTTTTATAAGTAGAGTTGTTAAGTAGTTTCATGAGGTTTGCTCAACTTCTGTGCTTGACATTACCAAATAGTTTACCTACCATAAAGCAATAAAACCAGTTAACTAATGTATTATAGCCACAGGTCCAAAACCATCTGATTCGCCACCTCTTCTTCCCTCCCACCATCCCACTCTTCCTCACCCTCTTCTGAGAACACAGAGTCTATATACTCCAACATGGGGGGGGGGGGGGGGGGGGGGGGCGGGTAGGAGGGCAAGGAAGCAAAGGAAGAGAAGGGGAGATAGTTAAGGCAAGGAACTGAGGAAGAAACAGGGAGAGGGAACTGGAAAGTCACAGGAATAATTTTCCATTAGTTCAGGAACTTCAACAGATTCTCAGGACAGCTCATAAAATGCTGAAGCTGCCACAAGGAAGTGGAAGGAGCACAAGCCACTCGAATGGAGGAAGAGCACATAAGTACATGACCTTCTCTTTCACATAGCACTGCCATGGGGATTGTTGTTCACTGTCTCAAGGAAATACAGCCTTACTATTACGAACACTTACTCATCTCTTCTCTGTTGGGTGACTAACAAACTGACAGCACCTGGCTTCTCAGGGTAGCACCAAGGTTCAACTACAACCCCCAGCCCATTGAAGGGCTCCCTTGGACTTTAGATAGCTGGCTAGGTGGGACTGCCAAAGTCTTTTTTGCTTCATCACCTTAAGAAACACACATTCAAATGTTTTAAGACACTGCTCTTCCCACCTAAGAAGGTCACTCTTATTTTGGTCTCCCCCTTAGGGTCTATTCAGTAGCCACTTTTAGTCCCCAAAGACTCCTTGAACACACCAACTTCAATCCATTCTCCAAAGCTTGAAAGATCAACAATTCTAGGAGAATCTCTGACATACATCATGGTACATGGCATTATACCAGAATTTATATTCCACATTATTTTATAACTGTTATTGTGCTAGCTTCCTCCCTTCATTTCCTCCATCTATTTCCAGGACTGAAAGAAATTAATAAAACAAGAAGCAGGAGGCAATCAAGGAAGCAAATAAACACTAGAAAGAGAAAAGAGATATTTCATAAGTGGGTGAACCAGCACCTGAGAACGTGAATGAAAGCAAGGAAAAAGAGTATGCAAGACAGCTGTGAAAAG